TCATATTTAACATTAAATCAAATCCCCTCCCTCCCACTTCTCTACCTCCACCCCCCAACAATAAATAAAGCTTTCCAAATCTTTTACAGTGTAAGCTGCTCCCCTCCTGGGAATGGAAAGGATATGAGAGCCATTTGATGAATGATTGGCGTTTATGTGTGTTCACAGGGGTTTTTTTGGGTTTTTTTTTTTTTTCAGTGTACTTTAAAAAAAACCAGATTTAAGCTGCCTATATTTAAACGCGCCTTTTGTAAAGATGATAAAGAGAGCAAAGATTTCTATTGGCTTAGCCGTAATCTGTTTGCTTTGTTGCCAATTCTTTTTTTTCCCCCTTTACTTTAACTGTTAACCTATTTATAAATCTAAATCTACATACAAAGGTCATTGGTTGGCTGAACTTAAACCATTTTACTCAGTAAATTTAATTAAGAAAATACAGTGCAACTCATAAGCAAATGAGTTTTTCCTAGTTCTAAACCAAACCACCCTCTTGAGTGCTGATTGCCTTGCCGACCCCTGGTGATACAGAAACGGGCAAAATTAAAAAGGACATTAAAGCTTCATTAAATCTGAAACACATTTAGTACAGTGACATATCTGCAGGCCATTTCAGAGAAGATTACATACTCTCTTTTGTAAGTTTCCTAATTTATAATACCTTGACAATAAAAACTGGGGAAATGCAAGTAGATTAATAGACCAGTAGGGGTAAAGATACAGAATGGCCGCGGGTCTGTCTGTCTGAAATATTCACTCAGAGCATATGTGCGCTCCCTCGTCCCCACGCGGGCTCTGTGTTTATTTTGACTTTTGACAGCCTCAAGAAGAACTTGTTCTTCTTACAGTCGTGTCTACTAAGAGCGCTTTTTCTTTTTCATCTCCTCCTAATAGGATTTGATGAAAAGGTTCTAGGACCTGGCTTCATATTTCCTTCTACTTTGCCAAGGACAGACGGTGTGAAATACAAACACTGCAGCTGCGTTAGACCTGGGAGGGTAGGGAAGGCAGCTTCTCCTCCCAGGGCCTTAAAAATGACTGCTTTCGGTGCCAGCCTAAGAGTGCCACTGCCTGCCTTCACTGCTTACAGTTGCAATCACCGGCCTGCACAGGAGCAGTTCATGGCGTGGCCCTTGTGAGAGAGGAAGTGGTGGCCATACTGCCAATGCAACAGGGCCTACAGGTCAAGGTCAGGACCAGTCTCTGTCCTCTAACTCAAAGAGGTCTTAGAAGCAGTTCTCTAAGAGCACAGGGGGCAGGTACAGCTAAAGATCCACAGGGATGTCGATATACACACAGAAAGCAGAGCTGGACCTAAGAATGATGAGTTCACAAGTTCAAGCCCTGCCACCTGCTCCCAAGCAGATTGGTACAGAGAGGCTCCCTGCTGACCAGCCTGCACTTTCTCCCTCTCCTTGTGCATGGTGGTAGCGTACAGAGCCAGCACATGACGTCAGCCACCCGATCTACCTTGTGCCAGTCGTGACGGGGCCAGTTCAATGGGAGCATGTCCCCAAATCGTCTGGGGCCAGCCTCTCTGTGGAACAGTGGGAACTTGAGAAAGGAGGGCTTTGTGTTGAAATGAAAAAATTCACATTTTTCTCCTTTTCCCACATTTTTTCTTCTCCTTTAAAGTCTGCTGTGCATCATTAGAACTGTAAGAAGCAGTGGCCGGCGTTGGCACCTGCCAGCCGGTTTAGGGAGGTAGGCAAATAAAGCCCACTGTAAGAAAGGCAAGTTTCCCAGCCTGTAAGCTTCGTGGACCAAAGTCTCCCATGGTCCCAATGTCACGTTCAGCCTGTTCCCAGTAAATGGCACACTTGTAGAAGGCCTTGAGGCAGTGTTGGTTTTTTTTAAAGAATTATTTTATTTGACTTTATTTATTTTCATTTGACCAGAGAGGGACAGAGAGAGAGAAGGAAGGTGAGAAAGCAAGTCACTCGGTCCAGGACTCAAACCATGATGGGCCATGTGGGAGTCTAGTGCCTTTAACCTCCATGCCACCTGCCGGCCCTGAAGTAGAGTGTTCTACATATTTTCTGGTATTATTAAGCTGTTAGCATTTATAGATAAGAGGCCCGCCCTCCCCTTGCAGGTTTCCTGACTCCATATCGATTTGTGTACAGAAGTTACCCCCAGATCGGTGTGAGGGTAGGGGACAGCTTTTGGTGAGCAGCTTTGCCTGTCAAGTTAGTTTAGAATGCTACAGACACCTAGTCACTCTCCACAAGAGAACACAGCGACTCCTCTGAATCAATGCCGTACTCTCACCACCCAGAAATACACTGTAGGTCAAACCTGTAGCCTGTACTCGTGGGGGCTGGGGTGGGTAGTGACTAGGAAAGCCAAGTCATCCCCTCCCGATGGGTGGGGAGCCACAGACAGCAGAACTCTAAGGGGCTTTGGTAAACATCCACACTTGCTTCCCATCATCAGTTCTTGGGATGCCTTTGTCATCAATGATTGACAGGATTACTGGTATCTACCTATCAAAATAATGATAACGTAACTTTATATCTTGAATATCCATATACATATCAGTATTTATCTTGTATGCAAGATCTGAGTACATGGTACTGAAACTAGGTATTTCAAAACATATATATGCATGTGCATATATGTAGATGCACACATGCATGCATACAAATGCTCCTTGACATATAGTAGGGTATGTTCCAGTAAGCCCTATTGTAAGTTGAAAATGCTAAGAGTCAAAAATAAGCATTGTGTAGACATGCCGGGGTGTGAAAACACAAAACCCAATATCCAAAAGTTGCCGGCCACACAGTACGCCGGAGAGCGTCAGTGTTTACATTGCTGCCCACGTCAGGAGAGAGTGTTGGACGTGCATACCGCTAGCCCAGGACAAGATCAGAGTTCAAAAATGGAAGTATAGGGGACCAGCAGTTAGCATAATGGCTATGTCGCTGGTCTCCCATGTAGCCGACCATGGTTTGAGCCCTGGACCCGGTGGCTTAAATTCACACTGGGCACGTGTGTGTGTGTGCCAAGATCCCGAGAGGAGAATGGAGGAGAAGGGATTGCGGCGTGGCCATCCCCCCTGGGGGGTGATTTCTCGCTTTCTATCTCTCTGTCTCTCTCTGTCTGTCTGGCGAGTGCACGCGCCCTATAGCAAAAACCTACCCCCCCAAAAAAATAATGGAAGTATGGTTTCTACTAAATGTATATTGCTTTCACACCATTATAGTTGAAAAACTTTAAGTCGAACCATTATGAGTAGAGGACTATCTGTGTGTGTGTATGTGTACCTGTACACACATGCATGGACACATAAACACACCCAAATGAGTACTATCCCTTTCAAATAGGCACCTTACAAGGTCATATGGTTTATTCCTTTTATATTGCTGTTGCTCAAACTGGTTTTAGAACTTCAAAACCTCAATAACTTCACATCTATCCTTAGTAAATAATAGAATATTATTTGTAAGGGGCTTTAGGTTTTGGTAATGGCCATACGGCATTCAAACCTTATTTTACAAATAATTTACAAGATTGATAAGCTGGGGGGTATACTTTTAAGTTCAAAATAGATGAAATTCTAATAAAATGAAGTAAGTATTCTTCTGTTAGCTTGGCAGGATTCTAAACATATTTCCAGAATAATTCAAGAATCTATGAATAGCAATAATGTCTTTGAATTAAGTGTGCTGGGACCAGCAGTTGGCATAATAGCTATGTCACTGGACTCCCATGTAGTCGACTGCGGTTCAAGTCCCGGAACCGGTGGCTTAAACTCACGCCAGGCGTGTGTGCATGCATACCCAAGATCCCGAGAGGAGAATGGAGAAGAAGAGATTGTGGTGTGGCCATCCCCCCCGGGGGTGATTTCTCACTTTCTGTCTCTTTCTGTCTCTCTGTCTTTATGGCAACTGTACATCCCCTATAGCAAAAACCTCTCCAAAAAATAAATAAATAAAAATGAAATAAGTGTGCAACTTCTTAAGATCTAGAGAGGCAGGGTAATATGCTGGGAAGAACACAAGATTAAGTTACAAGGTTCGGGCTCAGTCCCTGGGCTTTCCTGATTAACTGAGAGAACTCCTTCAGTGGGACTCTGGGAGTCTAATCTGTAAAGGAGATTGATGCTCTTTTAAATCCCGTCCGGTTTACAAATTCTGCAATGTTGCAGTTCTGCTTTGAATGAAGTTACAAATGCGTGTCAGGGATTTGGGGTCTGAAGATGGCTCACATTACGCAGTTGTAAAAGGATGCCACTATTTTCCTTTACACAAGTTGAGGTGGGTCTTAAAGATTTGATCTTATTACTTTATATCAAGCCTACTCTTGGTTGAATCACTTTGTTTTTATTGGTGAGGATCCGAAGACTAGAATGAAATGACCAGCCCATAAATACAGAGCAGTTTACAAATCAAGCCAGACAGAGACGTCTGAGGATTCCTGTTCCCAATTTCAGACTTAAAAGCCTGCAGTTTCAACTTCACAGTCCTGAAATAGTCGGTTTCCCACTAACGTTAGCTCTTTCCTTCTTAACCGTGAGAAGTTGAGTAGAACACAGTGGCACAGCTTCAGTTTCATGATATGGCCCGTTCTCTACTCCCCACAGCCATCCGTGTAGACGTAACTAAAGAACTGGAGTGTGGGCTAGGAGTAATTAGATGTTCCCGTGTTATAAACAGGAACGCCAACTGCGTTTTACATCTCTGTCCACAAGAAACCGTCACACACGTGTCCATGTGAATAAATGCCATAAAACTGAGAATAATTCCTAAGAGAAACCACATCAGGGTAATGTTTAGTTATGAAAATTAGAATATTATATCATTGTCCATTGGAAAATGTCCATTCTAAATACAGCTCTTAATGTAATTACAGCAATAATTTAGTTGGTGCATTCGAGATGGTGAGCTTTTTTTTTTTTATATCCGCTAGACGCAACTCTGAAATGTAGTGCTTGTCTGTTAAGAAGATCTGCCCTCCATGCAAATCTATAACTAGACAAATATTATTTCCTTTCCCAGCTTGCTCTTGGGAGGTTTCCATATCCTCAGGTAAGATTGTTCATTACTGCCGTTTGCCACTGTGACATTCATTCCTATGTATGAAGGTGCAGGGAGCAGTCGTGAACATTGGAGCCACATACAAATAAATCTGTCCTGTTAAATTGAAAAGTGATATCTTAAAGGAGTCATTTAGCAGTCTCTATTGGTTTTTGATTTTTTTTTAACTCCAGGTTGTTTCCCTCTTTGTTAAAGGTTGAACGTGCCCACCGCGCCCTTTGTGTGACGTTTGAGACGTCTTTTCCTCACCCAGCCCCGTACCGCATGCTCGCGGAGGTTGGAGCAGAGACCCGGCCTCTTTTTTTTTTTTAAATACACTTTTTTAAGCTTTGGGATTCAATTAAAATTCTTTGAGTTTAACGATTCAAACAAAGGTTGATAATATCTAATCCAGGCCATTATTTTTGTTAGGCCAATAGGTCCCCAATTTATGCGTGTGATTTCCAACGTATTATTCTCTTTATAGATTTTGCTCCTTCGTATCCACATTTCTAAGAAAGCAGACGGTGTGTTATACTCACATCGGTAACGCCAACCTTTATCATTTAAGATTTTGATTATAGCTGGGTGCTAGCACTTAAAACGTAACGCTGTTTTGTGATTTGAAAATGATTCCCCAGCGTGTGCAGGGAAATAAGCAGAGTGTCTAGAGGGATGAAAAATGAATGATTTGACTGTGTTCGTCTGGTTGATGCTCACTGTTTTTCTGGCATCTTGGTCTGTACAGGCCAAAGTGCCTGGAGGCATGTCTGATTTAAAGGTGGTGTTGGTCTCTGCTCTTTAAGCATCTATTAACTTGCTATTATTATGCAAATAAGTGTTGTATTACACATACTAATTTATGCATGGTTAGATTATGCAGATGCATCACAAACATGGTTATTGAATAATAGGACGGGGCTCATTCTCTCTCCCATCTCTATAAGCGGTTTTAAGCAAATCTCCTGATACCCATGTGGACATTTAAAGAGCCGTCACTAGCTGAAATGTCTCTTTTGTATCCTTTTTCTTTCACAGTTAAAGCCATCAGATAAGTGGAAGGGAAATCGTCCAAGTTGTCAGGTTCAAGAGTGTGGGTCTGACTTTTCCAATCTGTAGGCGTCTTTTGTGGAAGCGCAATCTTCTCCTTAAAGAGGAGCCCTAACACATAACCGCTTGGCACACGGGCTAGCATTCAGTGGGATTTTCGTGTACACAGGCTTGCCTCTTAGCTCTAGGTAGCCCATCAAATTAAAATCACATTTTCAGGATTTATAGCTCATTAGAATATTTATCTTGGTAAGCCTCTTATTCTGTCAGTAATTTTTAAATAATTCCCTGTTAAGCCAATTTATGCAGTCCCCCCCAAATTTTGATAGTGAATATAAGAGGCCCTCTACAATGTATCTCCCTGAGAAGTCTTAGTGGGAACCTTGTAAGCCGTCTAATAAAAATTCCAAAGATTGAGAAAGGACCTCTGTTTCTGAGTTTCCTGACATCTGAACTAGTTCCTCAGTGAGACTGGGTGAGTGAAGAGCCTAAATAGGTTGCCATTGCATTTGCCAAAGAAGTGCGTGAAGGCTGTGGTCGGATTTGGGAAGAGGCTGCATATATATCCCTTTGCAGTTTTGTCTTTCTGAACATCTGAGACTGTTTACTTGTCAGTCAAGTGAAAGTTGAGAACGAATGTAATAGGGCCAGACTCCCTGGTTAGCAACAACCTCTATGCTGGAGTGAGGGGGGGATGTATTTCTTGAATTGTTATAGAATGTCACCAAATTGGTTCTTTTATTTCAAATCATAGAAACAACTTTGATGCCGTCAGGCCTGTTGTCTGGGTCTTTGGGTAGAAGTTTGGGTTCTTTGTTGCTGGAATCAATGATTTGTACTGGAGTTGGTGTTTACCTTATAGGCTTTGAAGATCGGGCAAGGATACTTTAGAAATGCCTTCCTGCCTCTCCTTTTGCCCTCAAATAAATTAGTTGAAGGGAAAAAAAAAATCCATGTTTTATAGTACCACGAGACTCAGTTATGAAATGTCTTCGCTGTGCCCAGATTATCTCGCGTGAACACACGCCGGCTCTGTGAGGCAGCCCGGCCCCACAGTAGGGCAGAGACGGGCCTGTCAGCTCACAGCTGCCCTGTGGCTGGTTCGGTCCATGGGCTCTCAAGCAGAGGAGGCAAAAATGAGTCAGAGATTCAGCTTGGAGGGGATGTCAGGTGTCCTCAAACCCAACCTCTCTCAAAATCTCTGAACAAACGAACATCCCCGCTGTACCTGAACGCCCCGCCCCAATGGCAGGAGGCTCATGACTTTACAGAGCAGCCACGGGGTCAAAGCAGCGCTGTCCTTGCTGAGCTGAGGACACCTCATCCCGATCGTCGCCCCCAATGCTGCCCTTGATCACATGAAAGTCTTGCATATATGCTTAAGCCCTCGTAGTTTTGCCTCCCTCTGTACTCAGGGCTGGGTATGGTGCCAAGGAATGGTTGCTGAGCCCACAGTCACATCGGCCCCGTCACTAGGGGCAAGTTGAGAACCGTCTGTGGAAAAGAGCTCTGGACCAGGAGCCAGGAAATTAGAATGAGAACCCGGCTCTACCATGGACTCAGCACAGGCCTAATTCTTGTAACTCCTTGAGGCCTCAGATTCCTCATCTCTGAAATGAGGATCCCAAATACCTACCTCTCATCTGAGTGGAGAGGTGCCCTTAGAGGCTGGGAGTGCGCTTTGAGAGTACTCAGGGAAGCACCGAAGCCCACCCCACTGCCTGGTGTCAGGCTGCAGCACCAAGCAGGATTCGCAGCCATCAGCCGAAGGTTGCAAGAGGGTGTTCTCAGCAACCTGCCAGCCACAGCCAGAGCAGAGTGTGAAATGAGCAGAGGATAAAGCCGGGAGGAGACTCGTCCTGCCCCGGCCGTGGCGGTGTCCGCGTGGCTGACAGGGTCGTTAGCAGCCCTTCTCCCTGCTCGTGACACCGCGTGTACCCGGTGGGCACGCAGACGAGGGAGGGATGTCGAGAGGGTAGGAGGGCGAGTCAGTGGCCCGGGACCAACATGAAGGTGAAAGGGCTGGGTTTTGGTTGAGATCATCTTTTGGTTGTGGTCACTGTTCTCTATCAGTTCCATTGTTGGTGGGTTGGGCGTTTGTTCTGTGAAAGCACTGTCAGTTTTAGTTTCCCATAGGCCTTCAGGTGGCGTGCAATTTAGGACCCTAGGCTAAAAGGCGAGGAGCCCCTGTAAATGCAGTCTTGCTACTCCAACTTGTAAGGGAAGAACAAGGGCGGCCTGGACTCCCCGACCACCTCTCCTGCATGGAAGTCCAGGCCGCTCTCTGAGCTGGCCCCGGCTGTGCAGCCCACCTGCAGGGACTATTACTTTCAGCCTCCAGGTGAGCAGACTGAAGCGCAGAAGGGCGGAGCTCCGTGCCTTATGGAGGAGTGAGTGCGGTGAAGTCCAGACTTGCAGGCAATTAAACCCAGTGCCTGGCCCTGTGACCTCTTAATTGGTAGGCTTCTCATAGCCCTGTTCTCCTTCCCACTCAGCCCTACCAGCCCTGTAGTTGGCCTCCTCCGCCCCAGGGAGGCCTCTGGTGCAGATAAGAAATGATGAGCTTGAGAGGGTCGAGCTGTGGTGGGTGATGGCAAGACCGTTCCGTAGAGCCCTTTGGCCTTTCTTGCCATGTCTTACAAGGTCACAGGGGGATCCAAAGGGCCCCAGAGCCCTCATGGAACCCTGTGCCATTAAATTATAGGTGCCTATGAAGCATATTCTGCAATAAGATAGTGAAAAATTGCCCTTTTAAATATCTTGTGAACAGTGTCTCAGTTTCTTAAACATTTAGCTTTAAGGATGATCTAGAAAGAGATGCGAGTCTGGGCCAGGACTAGAGCCTGGTTATAGTTAATCATGTAGTTTTGAATTCAGTTGACTTAAAGACATAATGGTGAGCACTGGTTTGTTTAATGACAGCATAATTTAGGAGAAATGAAAAGGAATGCCTGCTAAAAACGGCCATCCTTCATTCAAACTTTACAACAGCGCCCTGCGTTAGGATGACAGTAAATTCATTAAGGAGACTTGCAGGGCATACGTCCGCCCTGGCACCAGGAAATTTGATAAGAGAGATGCCCGGGAAAGTGAAAATAATACAGATACAAATGTATTTAAAGTACTTTTGCATGTATAAAAATATTCTTCTTCTTTTGGCTACAATTCCTGATCTTGGTTAATAAATTACATCAAAATGACCTGAAGTTAAAAAAAGGGGGGGGGAGGAATCTGAGCAAATAGTGCCCCTGGTATTGTAAAGCTTTGAATGTTTTCACACCCCATTAATTTATTACTTCTCTTTCTTCATCTTTAAATTTCATTTTTTTTTTTTTTCAAAAATTCCGACTCCCCGCTGCTGCAGTGATTTTCATCTTGTTGTTAATTTTCCCTGCTCCATATGGAGCTCCAGACATTTCACCTGCAGGCTGTACTAGATTTTGCTGTAGTGCTCGTACTTCCGGAGGCCAAAGCTGTCATTTAGGGTTCCTGGTGCATCTGTCTGCGCCAGGCTTTTCACTGGCATGGGAGAGTGTGAATAACAAATTGGATGCACCTGAGATTCGGATGATTAGTGTGTTTTGTGAATCTCCGCGACTTGTAAGCAGATAGCTCTGGGGGGGTGGGGAGGGCTCCACAGCGACCGTGGGTGAATCTGTACTCACACCTTGCATTTGGGGCTTTGCAAGGGAAGTGCATCCACACCATCCTCTGCGGTGTGGATGCAGAGAGAGTAACAAATATTTCATCCTGCCTTGTCATTGATTAGAAAAGAGCCTTTAATTTCATTTCACCCCATGTTGTGATTAATTTGCATTCTTTGTCAGAAGTTAATGGAGTTTTTTATGGTTCACTCTGAAATCCTTGAAGACATCAGACTTGATCTGATGTTTATACAACCGCCAGCGGAATTTTTTCGTTTGATTGATGGCAAGCTTGATGTTATTCCAAACGGCTTTTTA